CCACAAGCTCAAGGCCAGCCCGGGCTCCATAGTGAGTTAAGGACCAACCCATCTCAAAAAAACCAAAAAAGGAAAAGAAATTTCGTACCAGCTGTTCTAGAATTTGACAAAAAGCAAAAGAAAGACAGAAAGAGAAGACCACATTGCACAACATAAATGTGAAAATATAATGAAATAAAACTGCAGCTACAGATCAAATGTCAACAGTTTTATGCTACTATCAAAAAACAGAGATTACCAGGTGCAGGGTCCTTTTTTGAGTAACAAGGAATCATCTTGGGCCACATATAAAGTATAGAACATTGTTAATGTATGTAAGTAACAGAACTTCCTTTTAAAAATATTTTTATTATGCTATAGAAATGGGAGGGCAGAGGCCAGCATAGGTTGGATAGTTCTGAAGTTATGTGTTTTTTAATGTGAAACTTACTAAAGATAAAGTGAGAAAGAAAAGTTGAAAATAAAGAAATGGAGCCGGGGGTAGTGGCACACACCTACAATCCCAGCACTTGGGAGGCTGAGGCAGGAGTATCCTTGTAAGTTCAAGACCAGCCTGGGCTACAAAGTGAGCTCCAGGCCAGCCTGAATTGCACAGGGGGACCCTGTCTCAAAAAAAAAAAAAAAGAAAAAAATGAAGAAATGGACAAAGATATACCAGGCAAATACAAACAAAAAGAAATTGGAAATATATTAATGTCAAAGTAACACATAGGACCAAAAGCATAAGACAGGACAAAATATATTATGGTACTTAAAAATCTGCAGAAAAGCTTCAAACCTTTTTGTACCAGATAATATTGCAACCAAATATATAAGATAAAATTTCCAAGATGCACTGATAGGATAATTAAAAGATATACTTTGACATTTTAATATCTTGTTTCAAAACTTGATGGAAAAGTAAGTAATCATATATAGAGGACTGAGTAATAGATGCGTGAGGCTCAGTGTAATAGACATATTTAGAATTTTTAACACCACAAATATGTAAAAAGATTGCCAAAATTGTCATGTACTTGGCCATAGTGGAAACTTCAATAAATTCTGAAAATCGGAGATTTCACAAGCAGGATAGGCTGATCATAAGCTAATATAATTAGCAGTCAACAAGGAAAATTTAGACCTCAAACTTCCTCAGCTATTTGAAATTATGAAATATTTTTTAAAAATAATTCCCACAGCAATGAAAAAATTGCAATTAGAATAACAAGATTTTCTAGAAAGGAATGAAGTAAAGAATATAGCTAAAACCTGTGAGCTCTATTCAAAGGAAATGCATAGCTGTACTCAAAGGAAATGTAGTGGTCTTAAATTTTTTATTTATAATGGAAGACTAAAATTTATGATTTCATTCAATTATAGAAATTAGTAAAAAGATCAACCAAATGTACTCCTCATCCAAAAAAGTAAGAAGATAACAATTTAAACTTACAAATCAAGGCGTACTAGTGTATTGTTAGACATATGAACATAAATTCCAGAAAAACAGCTAAAAGAATTGAAATCAGTTGCCTCTGGGGGACCGGAATTAAGATTAGGGAAGTACTATAGGGAACACTTTTTAACATTATTAGTCTTATGGTATTATCTGACTTCTTAAACTATATAATAGTATACTTTGTTGGGTTTTTTTCAGGGATTGCATCCAGAGCCTCTCACATGCAAAGCAAGCACTCCTTCACGGAGCTACAATCCCACTGCTTTTTAAATTTTGAGGCCCCCTGGCCTCAAACTTGTGATCCTCCTGCTTCAGCCTCCCAGGTGTGAACCACTGTGCCGTGCTAAATTTAAAACTTTTTTTAAAGAGTGAAAAGAATGTACCCATGAAACCTTGATTTATTTTGATATAGAGGTCAAAATATGAAAAAATATATCTATGGCTAGTCAGATAAGCCTGAGTATTTAAAATTTCCCTCAGCTCCTCATTAGTAATAAGGTTTCTCGCAGTTCATTTCTTATCTGTGTCTGGGTTTCTTCCTTTATAAACTGACTTGAACAACCACCAGGATGAGGCTCCAGGCTCTGAGACAGGCCAGGTGGTGGCTCACACCCCTGGCCAGCACAGGAGGACACCCCAGCTCCCCAGGCCCCACACAGCTGCCACCTGCAAATTAACTCAAGCGGCTTCTCCCCTCCTTGCTGCTCTCACTTCCTGGTTAAAATTTATTTTGGTTTTGTTTTTCCATAAACCATAAGCAGTTAGGGTATTTTCCATAGATTCAAGGTTCCTGCACTGGCATGAGCCACAGCTTAGGAATTTTAAGTAGAAAACAGAACACAATGGCTTTGAGAGTGTTAAAAACAGTTGCCTTTGCATCTAGCTCCATCTGGGATGACAAAGCGTATCTTTGCTGCCTTAAACCCTGTGAACAGATGAACTGCAGAGATAGAAATCTGGAGAACTAATATCAACATTGTCAGGAATAAGAAAATTTCCCTCCAGGGTTGTAAGACTTGCTTGGCTCCTGTTTTCACACACAGACAGTAAGAGAGGGAGGTGGATGAGGCAAAGAGCAGTAACAGTACAGCGTGCTAGGTGAGGGCGCTGACTGGCTCTGTGCGCTCAGAGAAAGGCGAGGATGCTAAAGTCTGGCCAGGTTAGGGAGAGTTGCCCAGGAAAAAGGGCATGAAGAGGGTCTCAGATCAGGGGCAGAGCGGTGCCTAAAGTTAGCTGTACACCAGAACCGCACGGGGATACTAAAAAGTCCTTGTTCCCAGACTTAATGAGTCTGAAGTGCGGCATGGGCATCTGGAGCTGTCAAAGTCCCCAGGTGATTCCACAGCAAAGTTCAGAAACCACTGTGGCCCCTGGGAAATGGAGTGGGAAGTAGAGCAGCAGGACAAGGGTGGGAAGGGAGAAGCTGATGGACTCGGATGTAGGCCAGTGGTGGCCATGGTGCAGTGAGCATGCTAGCCACATCGCCCCAGCATCGCCCCAGCATCGCCCCAGCAGCAGAGCATGGAATAACAGCGCAGTGTGGGCACTTTGCAATAAATACTGTAAGTGGGTTTGGGTCGCAGTTTGGGCCCTCACTCTCCAAAAGGTTCACCATCACTGATACAGGCTGTGAATGGGACAGAAGTGGGTGGGTGATGGTGTGCAGAGGGAGGAGGGAGGAAGGCGATGGTGGCGATACCCAGGGGTCAGGCTTGGGCAGTAGGTGGGTGCGGTCCATTTTCAGAGATTCTGAACACAGCAGGAGGATGTGGGATGCAGGGGTTGGAGATGATGTGTGCTTAGCACAAAGCAGCTTGGCTCTGTGAGCAGTAGCCTGGGCTGCCAGCCTCATCATCAACATCTGAGAGACCCCTTGAGCCCAGCAGACACAGGATCCAAGCAGTGAGGCCGCCCTCTAGTGTCGTCACTGTGTACTCCTAGCTCTTGGGCAGCAGAATCTTCTCCAGCTTGGGAGTCTCAGGGACTTTGTGTCTTTGCTGATGACCACAAAAGAGGGCACCTCTCTGACATCCTGTCACCCACACAGGCCAGGAGTAGCTCTAGCTTCTCCAGGAGGGCCTGCAAATGTCAGTGAGGGGCAGAGAGCAACTGGCTTGGAAGACTTCCCGGAGGAGGTGGGACTTCACTGGGGCCAAGGGGAGTCCTGAATTAATAAATTTGTGTGTGGCAAGATCTCCCCCCCTTGAGGTAGTCAAGAACCTTCGCTCACAGAGAAGCCAGTGGCAAGAGGGCACAGTGTATGCAAGTCACAGTCTAGGCTTTGGCTGTTAGTTCCCCAGCTGTGTGACCTCGGACAAGGTGTTTAATTTTCCTGAGCTTGCGTCCCTGTCTGCAAATGAGGCTATGATAGAGAAGCAACAGCGCACATGGCTTTAGCCCTGTGCACCACAGACTGCCTAAACACTTGCACCATTAATTCACTTAATCCTCACAGCAGTCCTATGTGGTAGAACAGATGGTTCTATTCTACAGATAAGGAAAAGGAAACACAGAGAGGTTATGCAACTTTTCAGTCACCAGGCACAAAGTTGACATTCAGGAGTGGCTGCTGTTGTGACCATAGAGATGGCAGTCATTGATTGTGCTGAAGCAGGTGAGTTCATGGGCAGAGTCAGGGGAAAAATTTTGAGAGACAGCAAGTGACCTTCTCACGCATCAAGCATGATTGAGGACCATTTGCTTGTGACCACATAATATACCTCCCTGTCCCCGGGTCTTACCAAATAAGCAAAGAGGGGCAAAGCCTCTTAGAAGTGGTTTCTTCCTACCAGCCTCATTGACAAAACCCAATCGGATCCTGAAGAAGGATGAACTTCTCTTTCTCAGTTACCCTTGAAGCTAGGAGTGGTCATGTGACCTAGATCTGGCCAATGAGATGTAAGGAGCATGTACGGGGATGACCCTGGGGAAGGTTTCCTCCCTAACAGAGGAAGGTATAGAAATAGTCTTTTCCTTCCTGGATGGGAACGCTGCCATATAAGGACATGATAATTGGAGTTATAGCTATATTGCAGCCATGACAGGAAAACAAAGAAATACCCAAGTTTCCAAAGACCTTTTGATAATATTGAGCTGTTCCTTGTTTCACATGGAGTCACCTACTTCCAGACTTCCAGGTATGTGAGAACAATAAGCCTCTATTTGTTTTTAAATCGTGATTATTCCAGAAAAAGTATTCTTAATAACATACTCATGTTGTTTCAGTGTGTTAATTCGTTTGCCCCAAAACTCATTTATTTAATGAGTAAATATCGCTGAATAGAGACTACATGCCGATCACAGTGGAATAAGAGGGATAGTTAGCAGGAAATGGCCACAGTCTAGAGAGACATGGTTCTGGCTTTGTAGATTTCAAGGCTTGGTAAGGGAAACACACTTTGAATAGATACGATAGATCAGGATGTTAGGCAGAAGGAAGCACGGGAATCCTTACAGAATGTGGAATGGGTAGTTAACCTTGGTAAGCATCTTGGAAGTTCTTGAAGCCTGGTGATTATTTAGGTGTAGATTTTATAATAAAGAGACCCCAAAATACAGTATCTCCAATCAGAGAGAAGTTTTTGTTTTGTTTCCTTTTTTTCATATAACAGCCCCTTTTCATGTTCTACCCAGGCTCTGTCATCCTTAAGATGGCTTCCCGCTGTGGACTCAAGATGGCAGCTCTTCTTGTTACCATTGACCAACTGTGGAGAAAGTGGGGAAAGTGACGGACAGTATTTTCCTCATTCAGATGAGACCTGGAGTGTGCGCATCTGCCCGCATCCTATTGGGCAGATCTTAGTCATGTGATCTCACCTATCTTGGAACAGCATCTTGGGAATGCAGTTTTAAGCTGGTCAGCCGGGGGACAGCTGGCACTCAGAGAAGTTCCATTTCTAAGAGGAAGGGGAAAGTGGTCTGAGGGACAGTGAGCAGTCACATTGGTAAAGGCTTGGGAATATTCTCCTCTTAACCCCGAGAGCAATGAGGAGTCACTGAAAAAGGGTTTAAGCAAGAAGTCCCAGTCACATTTGTGCTTTTAAAAAGATTGCTATGGTAGCCATGCAGGAGGGAGTACAGGGGAGGAAATAATACAAGAGGGGGCGAGGAGACTATTTGGCAAATCTACTGATAATGGTGATTTGAACTGGGTGGGAACATCCGAAAGGGCCCATGGGTCCTGGTGGGGTTTTTGTTTGTTTATTTTTGCCAAATGAAACTTAAACAAGGACCACTTTCATCCCTATTTTTCATTGGTCAGGATTTCTTCTGGATCTCCCAGCCCTATGTCATTTTAATATAACTAAACTTACATAATCTAAATATTGTAAGAGCCAGATCACTACAATTTCCAGTGAGGCCCAGCCTGGAATGAGGTCAGACTCTGCTCTTCTGCTATGACATGAGTAGGGAAAGAATTTAGAAATGACATTTGGCCAAAAAGAAAAAAGAAAGAAGGAAAGGAAAGGAAAGGAAAGGAAAGGAAAGGAAAGGAAAGGAAAGGAAAGGAAAGGAAAGGAAAGGAAAGGAAAGGAAAAAAGAAAAGAAGAGAAGGGGCTGGGAATATAGCTCTGCGGCACAGCACCTGCCTGGCAAGCACAAGGTCCTGAGTTTGATTCCCAGTACCGAACAAAATAGAAATGACATTTGGTAGACTACCCTAAGGTTACTTGGTCAAGAAGGTTATTTGGCCCAAGGTCGAATGGTGGAACATCCTTGAGGAGGTGGCATTTGAGGAGGCATGGAGGACAAATAGGGTAACCTCAGATAAAATGTTGCAGAAAAACTATTCAAAGTTCTTCCCAACCACTATGTGCTTCCTCTCTAGCCTCATCTCTGGGGAAGAAAATAAATATTCTGATTGTTTTAATATGGAAACTTAAATTTAGATTTTGCTGCCTTTCCGTTACACACTTGAAGGATGGAATGCAAACTTTTTTTAACTTCCTAAGAAGGTCTGAAGATTAAAGGTCTTCATGCCCCTTGAAGAAAGCAGACTTTTTTTTTTTTTTTTTTGGTTTTCTGTGTTCTGGGCCTTATCAGAATACCATGAAAGGCTGGGTGATGGGTCTGGGGAAAGGCTGAGATTTCGGCACAAGCAGGACTTCCTGAGAAGACAAGGAGGAGAGAGGATGTGGGGCCAGGAGAAGCAGGCATTCAGTCCCTCTCACTCTTCCTCCATGGCCCTGGAAGCAATGGCCATAATCAGGGAGGGGCCAGAGCTCTGGAAAGGTGAACATCCAGCATCCACACGCCAGCTGAGCCCCAAGCTCCCAAACCCCAAGTGTATGTCAGGAACAACTGTCCCTGGACCTCGACCAAAACGGCCCTGCCCCAGAGGCCTTGACACTGTCGGCAGCCCCAGGAGCGGGCAGTGGGAGCCCGGCAGTAACGAGGTTGGGTTTCCCTGCCAGCATAACAAGGTGAGCACTGAGTCAGAATGAGGTCGACTTTTAGGAAACAAGACGTGGGACCTTTGTGGCACCCCCAGGGCAGGAACTGAGACTGAGGCTCACTGCAGTTCCCCTTCCTTTCCTGCAGGTCCCTGAACGCCAGCAGACTATTCTGATCTGTCCCAGGGTCAGGGCTGTTTCCCAAGTGTCCTCCTCCATTACCTGCAGGGTCTGCTCCGTGCCAGTTCCCACCTTACTCCCACCGCCTCAGAGGGCTCCTCTGCCCTCTTCATGGTGTGGGGGAGCATGGAAAGTGCTCTCTGTGGTGCTAGGACTTGGTTTCCCATTTTAGTTGGGGGTTTCATGAAAATAGAGACATGACCCTTTCTCCTAGCTCTGTGCTGACCATCCCAGCACCTGGTCAGTGAGTGGCCTGCCATAGGACCCAGGGCTGGAGCTGCCTGGAACAGGGGTGACCTTTTTGCAACCCCTTTTTCCACCTCAGCCAGGCCACAGTACTTGGTGCCACATTGGCCGACACCCCGATTGTGATGCCAGGGCCCCTCTTTCTGTGATAGCCAGACTGGCTCCAGAAAGACCCCCGTTACCCAACCAAAGAGGTGATGTCATGGCTCTTTACCCACTTCCTCCCCCGCAGGCCATAGATGGGCAGATCTGCTGGAGCCCGCTGTTGAGAAAGGCATGCTTCGTGTTAAGAGCCTCTGAGCTCTGTATACACAGGACCATGGCAGATGTAAACACTCGGGCCTCTCTTCCCCAGCTCGATAAACCTCAGGCTTTCAGGGCGAGGCGCTGCCCTGCACACTCCCAGTGTTTAAAGAAGTTGTCAACAGCAGCCTGCGCTCTTGGCAGAGGCTGGCTCTCTGTCTCCAAGCTAAAACCACAAACCTGAGCCACTGATGCCCATGCCAAGGGGCACAGAGCTCGTCCCTTCCAAGGGAGCCTGTGGTTTGCAGACGAAGGGGGCTACCAACGAGCGTAACTGCAAAAATGCCAGGGGGACCGTGGCATCCTCAGCCACTACCTGTCCGGCTTGCACAGATCCTGTGAGCGTAAGAACAACATTCCCTTCACCCCCTGACATGGCAGATTTTAAACTTTACTCATCATTTATTATTCATTTATTTACCTGACATTTACTGAGTATCTACTATGTAGCAGGTGTGCCAAGCATTATACGCAGTGCCCTGCCCAAAGTTACCTAAGATTCCAGCATTAGTGCTATTCCTGATAGTTTAAGACTTATAAATATAACCACCTCCAAATCTATGCTATCTAAGTATAGATAAAGAATATACATTATATACCTATAATTACTCATTCCCCCCCCAAGTCATATTTTGAATGTTATTCATTAGTGTTAAGCAGTACGTAGACATCACATTTTGTGGATCACCCTTATGGACACTGGACACAAGACAGTCTGGGCCTCAAGGAGTCCCTCTCTTGTGTGACAGGGAAGTGGCCACAAAGAGGTGGCCTCGGTCAAAGGGAAGGAGGCCAACAGACCAGCAGAGGACAGAGAGATGTGATCAGGGATGAGGGCCCCATCTCACTAGGAATGGGACCCCAGTAAGCCCTGCCTCTCCAGAGGCGCTCACAAGTTGCTCTAAATGAAGACCAGACCAGGGCCCCAGGTCTTGGAATTTCATGAATCCGACAAGGTATTAAAATCTAACTGAGGGAACCATGCAGGCTGCCAATTTTTACCCCACTGAGTAAGGGTTTGAGAGGAAAAGCAAAACCAAAGTAGCACCCACTATCTGCCATCATTGTTATTTCATGAAAGAAAAGACATTTTTAATCCAAAAACACTGGAAGGGCACAGTCTCCCCATGAACAATGATTCTTAAAACCAGATTCAAGGAGCTGAATAAAGTCTCAGGACGCTGTCCTTCTTGTCCTCCCATCACCTGGTCCAGGTGAAATTCGTCACTGTTGGGCACCCCTCCTGGTGACCAGATGACTCCAGTGCCGTCCAGTGCCAATGTCCCTTGTGACCTACTGCAGGTGTGCAGGGCAGTCCCCAGAGCAGACACTGGAGAGAGGCTGAACCCACATACTTCGCAGAGCTCCCTTTGCCTTCCGCCCACCGCCCTTATACCTCGACTCTGCTCCCATGTTTTCTGTCCTCCAAACTCTATAAAAAATTCTTCCTTTCCGCTATGGCTTGGATGTGGTTTGAGTCTGTCCCCAGGCTCTCATGTGTTGGGAGCTTGGTCCCAGTTTGAGCGCGAGGGACCTTTGAGGGGTGGAGCATAGTGGGAACATCGAGGTCACCATGGTTCTCACAGAGCAAAAGATGGTTCTTGTAAAAAGGCATCACTGGACCTCATCAGTCCCTCTGACTTCCTGCCTCATACCCACACCTGTATGACGCCATTCACTGTGAGCTGACACGGGGGCGGGGAGGTGCTTGCCAGTGCTGGCATCATGCTACTGGGATGTTCATCCTTTAAAGCGGTGAGCTAAAGAAGTCTCTTTTCTATTTTAAGGAACACCAGCACCTTTTTGGCACTCCCGGAGATCCAACCCAAAACCCTTAGCATGCCAAGCCGCGCTCCCCTAGGAGGTGCACTCAGCCCTCTCTTCTTTCCACATTCCCCTGCCTCAGGTGTTGTGTCACGGTGGAGACAGTCAGAGCCACTCTCCCACTCCAGTCTTCAGGCCTCCAGCCTAGAGGTCAGGATAACATGAATCAGCAAGGAGCACTGGTGTTCCCCCACTTGGAAATGGTGTGGCCGCTGTTTACCTGGGGAGGACCCTGTCACATTCTTCCCGCATCCTCCTTCAAGCTTCTCTGCCACTGACAGTGCTCAGCTGTCACCCTGCGCTGGCCTCACCCCAGGTGCAAAGAGCTGCCTTGTCAGTGGTCACAGCCTTCCTGGCATGGCCCCCATCCAGTGATCCATGTGCAAGTAGAAAGGATTGGTCACTTGCGCCCAAAAGGGCAACTCCAATGGCCCTCTAGCTCCCAGTGACTATGAGGTTGTGTCAGGCCCAGGGTCCCTCTCCCTCCACCGCGCTTCCTTCCTGTCTTCCTCCAGTGCTGGTTCCCATGGCATCTCCCTAATCAACATCCTGCACACGGCCTCTGAATCAGAATCTGCTTCCTGTGGTACCCAACCTGCACCACAAGCTCCACAATCCCGGCAGGGCCACGGGCAGCCCTTGCCCCTCCAGTTCCTGCCGGGCTGGGACTTCCACACACACCTTGATGAGCAAACCTACCAGTCTTGATGTGTCAATAAAGAAATCTGAATTTTTTCCGCTTTTAACAAAGACTGGCTCTCAAGACCATTGTCTAGCTATAGACTTGGAAACCGGCTCACAGAAGCCAGCAAAGCTGACCAGTAACCCCTCTGTGCTGGGTGCCCCCCCAGTCCCTTCCAAGGCTCAAGCCTTGTAGCACATAGTTGGAAAGCTGCAAGCGCATGTGATTTAAGGGGGGAAATAAAAACTCAGATTTAGTAGCTCCAAAATGTAATCCCCATCACATACACAGTGGCAGTGGTAGGCCATTGGGCGGGACTGCTATTTTGGGTTTCTGTGACTGGTGACAACTCTCTGTCATTCCAGCTGGTGCTGTTTGCACCAAAGCTCAACAAATTCCAGCTGCCTGAGAGCAGGAGGCCGGGACAGTGGAGGGAGGAGATGTCTTGTGCTTACATTCTTGCTTCCACACATTTCGCTCTTCGGGCCCCAAGGCTGAGTGAGGACAGGACAGAAGCAAGCCCCAGAACTAATAGGATACTCATCCTGCTGCTGCGACCTAAAGAGATCAAAGAGCCCCTCTGCAAGAGACCAGGGTCCAAACATACCTTGGTGGCCTGATCTAGAGAGGACAGATATCTGTTTTGTGGCTGAAGCCAGTTCTATGCAGAGCTATCTCTGTAAGGAGCAGGATCCCAGGGACCCCCAGACTCACCCCACAAAATGGGAGGAGCAGGGACCCTGGAAGCACCAAGTCCCCAGCATGCAGCTGGATCCCCCGGACGCCATACACGCTCAGCACAGCAAAGGGACCAACAGTGGGTAACGACTTCTGCACTGAGTATTGATAAACTGACCCAGAAGTTCACAATCAGGAAAGCCTAGAAAGAAGCTCTCTCATTTTCAGTGTATGTTTAGGCTTCATGACGTATGACTTGGTGTTTTTATTTTGGATTCCATGCTTGGAATAATCTTTTCAACACTAGGGACCTTTAATGGTCTTCCCCAGCTCTGCCAGGGAGGCAGGAGGCCACGGGACGGAAAACAGCACAGAAGGAGGACAGCACAGAGGTGATAGGGAGCAGGGTCCAGGGGCATGAGAAATTCAGGCTGTGCTGGAAAGAGCCCTGGGAGCCCCAAGGCCACACTGCACTAGGGTGGCTGGTGAGAGGCAGCCCTGCTGTGCTGTAATAAGGACATACTCTGCCCTTCTTTTTTTTTTTTTTTTGGTGGTACCAGGGATCGAACTCAAGACCTTGCGCTTGCCAGGCAGGCGCTTGTGCCACTGAGCTATATCCCCAGCCCCACTCTGCCCTTTTGACCCTGCTGGTCTCCAGGTGCCCACACGACAGGTGTGCACCAGTGCATGAGTGTGTGTGAGTTCACACCACAGCTCAGCCACACACAGACGGTTACTTGGAAACATTGTCACAACTTCCCGTGATGCCTAGGACACGTGCACACAGTAACAGGGAGCAGGCAGCTCTGGGCACACTGGCAGGAGCCCCTCAAGTCTTAAATCCCCAGCCTTTCTGGGGGCCACGGAAGCTTTGATGAAGCCCAGCCATGTCCTAAGACAATGATTCTCAAAGTGGGATTCCCAGATCAGCAGCACCAATGTCACCCAGGAACTGGTTAGAATGCTTTGGGTTCTATCTTCTCTCTCTGGCAGAGCCCTGAGCTGTTTATGGGGCTCCCTTGGGACTATAAATTGATGTCATGTATTTTATGTGCCATTTCCTATACTAAATATACTTTTACACACAGTATCTCATTTAAAACTCACACATACACCATGAGAAGTACACTGTTTCTCCCCTATTCTTTTCCAATGAGGTAGCTAATTCCTCCATCTCCCTCCGGAACCGCTACTCCACCCCGGCTGCCCTGGAACTCAGCCCCCTGCGCTGTCTTCTAACTGAACCCCCACCACTGAAAGCACCCTAAGACTCCCTGAATGTCCCAAATATCCCACTAATTCATTCTCTTGAGAAAGAGTGAGAAACTTGCCCCAGGTAAGGAGGCTCAGGTTCCCAAGTGCAAACTGGGATCGCTTTCTAGAGGCAGCTCCTGCCCCAGCCTGAATGTAAACACCGCTGAGGACTGAGCCCTCCTCGTGCCACCCCCACACGTACACCCCGTGCCAATTTCCTTGCGGCATCTCCTTGCTGCGCAGCCAGTCCTAAATCTCCCAAGACAAGACCTAGCCATCCAAGCAGGGGGTGGGACGAGGGCGGGCAAGCAGCCCCACCCGGGAGCAGGCAGCCCCTCTGCCAAGCTCTCCGCCTGCCTGCGCCACCGAAGTTGCTGGGAGGCAGCCGCCACAGGCAGGCAGCTGAGGGCTGGGATACCCCGGCCTGGTCTGCACCCCAAAGCCTAGAGACAGCCCAGTCCCAGTTGGCCTGTGGGATTCACGGAGTCCTCTGTACATGCATCTCGTGTGAAATGTTTCCTGAGTAGCGTTAGGAGAGACACGGGTTCGAATTGTGGCTTCTCGCCTACTTCCTGAGTGACCTCAGCTGATCACATCCCCTCTCGGGCTCTTGGTCTTTCATCTCTTTGGTGAAGAGGTTGAGCTGATTTATGAGGATGTCTTCTGCTCTGAAACTGCGATTTGGATTCTAGATTTTCAAGTGACTTTCCAGAGTCCTGGCCAGGATGCAGGAATCTGACATGACAAGGGCTTTGGATCAGGCTTTCTGCTCAGCACAGCTCATCTTTGCTTGAGATGTAGGTGTGGCCCCCGGCTGGACGAGCCTCACTTTGATCTGTTCCTCTCTCCGCCCCCTTGCTCCATATACTCAGAGGACTTCTCCTCCACAGCAAAGCCTGGAGGAGGCCTGGGCCCACAAGCAGCCATGGGGGCCTGTGTCATTGTGACTGACACCAATACCTCGTCCGGTCTACAGAGTAACACCACGGGCATCACGGCCTTCTCCATGCCCAGCTGGCAGCTGGCGCTGTGGGCCACAGCCTACCTGGGTCTGGTGCTGGTGGCTGTGACAGGCAATGCCACAGTCACCTGGATCATCCTGGCCCATCAAAGGATGCGCACGGTCACCAACTACTTCATCGTCAATCTTGCCCTGGCCGACCTGTGCATGGCTGCCTTCAATGCTGCCTTCAACTTCGTCTACGCCAGCCACAACATCTGGTACTTTGGCCGCACCTTCTGCTACTTCCAGAACCTCTTCCCCATCACAGCCATGTTCGTCAGCATCTACTCCATGATGGCTATCGCCATCGACAGGCAAGAGGGGATAGAGGGAAGCTGGGGGTGGGGCACCTTCCTGAGGCTCAGATGGTATGGGGCCTGACCTGAGGTCACACAGCAAGCTAGGGCACAACCAAGGCACTGCCTCCCAAACCTGCTCATGATTTAGACCTGTGGATCTGAAGTCAGGGACTGCAGGACCAAAGCAGGCAGGGTCAAGGTTAGACCCAGGCAGGGCTTAGCACTAGGTGGCTGCTGGAGGCTGCAAAGGACAAGTGGGTGGCGTCGTGGGGATCTCTGGCATGCTCTTCCCTGAAACTGACCTTTGCCTGGTGTCTGGCTGTCTCTACAAGGAAATCATATATAAGGCTTTTCCATTCCAGACATTTACAGAAAAGAAAAAAAAGCACTGTTGCATATAGTTTGCTTCTAGGTGTAACAAGGCCAGTCATCTGCCCAGTGCTGCTCTTCGGGGTGGCGGAGTGTGACCTTCCGAGGAGGGGCCTGCAGCAGGGTGTAGAGGGGTTAGAGGTGGCTTTTGGAAGCTGTTTGGGGTGGGTGGGTGCTTAGGGGAGTGTAGTACAGACTGATGGAAACAGGAAGGGAGGAGGGAAAGGTGACAGTGTGTGGGGGGCCAGGGTGAGGAGCCTGCAACCCTTGAACAGAACCCTCGTCAAGGGGAGGTGTGAGCCTCGAGGCCCCCCACATCCCCACCCCACCCCACTGCCCCAGCAACTGTCATCACCCACAGCTGCCCACTGCTCAGCAAGGGCTCTCCTACTCTGGGGTGTCCCCAAGGACTTCATTTGGGAAAATTTTATCCCCTAATTAAAAATAGAAAGTGTATACATCATTCATCTAAGCTTAACTTCTAACTTTATACCCAGGGAAACTGAGGCTAGAGGTCAGCAGGATCACCTGATGCCACAGTGAAAGTCAAGGGCAGAGGCAGAGGCTTAAAACCTAGCCCCCTGGGGTGTTGGGGGTGGGGAGAAGTAACCTTGTCAGTCACTGCACCCCAGCACTATCAGAGGTAACCTAACACCCACATCCCCTGGGTTTTGGAGGTGTTATTGGTTTGTTTTTGCAATAATGGGGATTCTTTTTTTTTTTTTTGATACAAGGTCTCACTAAGTAGTTTAAGGCTGGCCTTGAACTCACTGTGTTACCCAGGCTAGCCTGGAATTCGCAGAGATCCTCCTGCCTCAGCCTCCTATGTGCTGGGATTATAGGTATGTGTTACCATGCCTGGCTGCAGAAATGGGGATTGAATCCAGGTTCTTGGATTCTAGAACACTCTTAGAGTGTTCTAGGCAAACACTCCACCACTGAATTACATCCCAGCACACCCCCAACCCCGCCATTTTTCTGAATATCTCACTAAGATTTCTTTTCTTTCGTGGAACAAATATTTGAGTGATCCATCTGTGTCAGGCCCAATTTCAGGCACTGGGGGTGGGGTGATAATTTAAGGAAAGAACAACCCCAAGTTCCCTGCCTCACAGAACTTCCATCTAAAGGGTGAGCTGGGCTACAGAGGGCACGTGGAAGCAAGAGAACCAGACAGAAGAGACAGTCCAGGAGCGGATGGTGGCTCAGATCAGCTGACAGCAATGGAAACTCACCATTCATTTCTCCATTTCTTCATCCATTCAACAAATATGTGTCCAGTGCTTGCTGTGTACAAATACTCTTCTGGGCCTGACAGGTAAATGTGCCTTCCCTGGAGGGAACTTAAAGTTCCCTGGAGGGAACTTAAATCATAAGTACATGAATAAATAAATTCTATGGTATATGTTAGGCTATGAGTGATATGAAAAATATAGCAAGTCAGATGTGGTGGCACATGCCTGTAATCCCAGCACTTAGAAGGCCGAGGCAGGAAAATCATCATGAATTCGACGCCAGCCTGGACTACGTAGTGAGTTCAACACCCTCTTGACCTACATAGTGAGATCCTGCCTCAGAAAATCATTTTAAAAAAAGGAAAGGGGAAAGGGGACCTAAGATTGTCAGCCAGATTGTCTTGTTGGATGAGTGTCAGGACCCATCTCATTGTGAGAACAGGCTTTGAGCAAAGATGAGGGTG